ACCTGAGCCGAAACTAAGAGTCAGGCACTTAACTGACTGCACCACCCAGGCACCCCATATTTTTCCTTAAATTCTGAATGATAACCTTGCCAAGTAGAGTATTCTTGGTTGTAGGTTTTTTTCCTTTCAGCACTTTGCAGGCCAGGAGGGAGTGGCATGATATAGTTACAGTTTCTGCTGAAAAATCCGCTGATGGCCTTATGGGGTTTCCCTTGTACTAGCTGCAACTCATTGCTTCTTTTTTGTGGGTTTTAAAATTCTAGCTTTATCTTTAATCTTTGACATTTTAATTATTTTGTGTAGACCTCCTTGGGGTTCATCTTGTTTGGAACTCTCTCTGCTTCCTGAACCTGGATGTCTGTTTCCCTCCACAGGTTAGGGAAGTTTTCAGCTCTTATTTTTTCCAGTAAGTTTTCTGCCCCCTCTTTCTTTTCCAGCTGGAACCCTTATAATGTGATTGTATGTTTGCTTGATGTTGACCAAGAGATCCCTTTACCTGTCCTCACTTTTAAAAATTCTTTCTAATCCTGCCTTCCAGATCACGGATATGTGCATTCTTCTGCATCTACTGGTTTGTTGTTGATTTTCTCTAGTGTATTTTTCATTTCAGTTATTGTATTATTCAACTCTGATTGGTCATTTTTTATATTTTTCATTTCTTTGGTTTAGTTCTCAGTTCACCAGCTTTTTTCTCCAGGCCAGTGAGCATCTTTATGATCATTACTTTAAACTCATCAGGTAGATGGCTTATCTCCATTTCATTTAGTTCTTTTTCTGTGGTTTTGTCTTGTTATTCTTTCTGTGTTTGTTTCTATGAATTAGGTGGAACAACTACTTCTTCCAAACACAAAGGAGTGGTCTTGTGTATGGTCATCCCCTGTTAAACTGTGTGTTCCTGGCACTTTGGCTGGCTCAAGCTGTGACTGGTGTGGGCTGGGGTTCCAGGGTTCACTCTGCTGAGGGCACCCTGACAAAACTGCTGAAGCTGAAGTGGGTATAAGCCAGGGAGTCCTGGGGTACTCACACGGGGTGCACCCTGGTAGGTGGCTGGAACTGAGGCAGGTACTTAGCTGGGTGTTCCCAGGGTGCTTTCTGCAGGGAGTGCCCTGGCTAGGGTCGCTGAACCTGAAGCAGGTATGAGGGTGCCCTAGCAAGTCATCTGGAGCTGAAGTGTTCCAGGGTACTTTGCTTCTGTGATACCTTGGTAAGATAGCTGGAGCTATAGTGAGCACTGATTAGGCACATCTCATTGTGTGCTGTGCTGGGGCCACTCTGGTTGGACAATTGAAGGTGGTGTAGGCTAGGGTCCCATGACTCACTGAGGCAATAAGCTAGGGCTCCCAGCCCCTGCTCCTATCCATGCTATCAAGATGGAGGGAGACTGTAAAGTATGGTGGGTCACCAGTCTCTCTGACCTGGAGAGAGTTCCAGCAGCTCTCCTGACATTTGGCAACGTTCTAGAGCTGGATCCTTTATATCCTTGCTGCTCTTTTAAACCACAGCTCTTTTTGTATGCCCCAGAGCATGCAGGACTGGTCTGGGCTAGGTGCCCAGAGCTCGCTGGGGTGGCAGGCTGGTTATTCTATCCAGACCCTGTTCCCACCTGTGCTATCAAGGTGGAGGGGGAATGTAAACCATGGTGCTTGCCAGTCCCTCTGACCCAAAGAGAGTTCCAGCAGTTCTGCTGCCATCTGGCAGAGTTCTAGGGCTTAATCTTTTATATTCTAGTTGCTCTTTTAACCACAGCTTGTTTTCTGTGCTCCAGAGCAATGAATCCACGCACAGTCCTTCAGTACTATCCCTCCCCTGTGCAGTTTGCAGCATCAGGGGTAGGGGTTTTCTTCATTACAGTGTCCACCTCTCTTGCCCTTCTCTGTGTTCTATCATGTTGTACAGAAGCTGCTACTTCAGCCCTCAGGTCTTCAGGAGGAACTGCACTATAACTAGCTGTAGATTTGGTGTGTATGTGGAGGAAGTATGTTCAGGTCTTCCTATATGGCTATCTTAGATCAGAAGCCCAGCCATTGTTGTTTTAAATGTACTTTCTACCCTTTTCTCTTTTCCTTCTTGAATTTCCATAATGCCAATATTGTTTCTTTCATTGTGTCCCATAAGTTCTATGGGCTGTGACCTCACTTTTTCATTTTTTTCTTTTTGTTTTTCTGACTGGATAATTTGTCCAGTCATGCAGGTTGCTGATTTTTTCTTATGCATAGTCAAGTGTGCTTTTGAATCACTCTATTGAATTCTTCAGTTCAGTTATTGTATTTTCCAGCTCTAGGATTTTATTTTTTGATAGTTTCTATTTCTTTGTTGAACTTCTCATTTTATTCATTTTTCATTTTCCTAATTTTGTTTAGCCACCTATGCGTTCTTGTAGTTCACTAAACTTAGGATTATTTTGAATTCTTTGACAGTTCACAGGGTTAGTAATTAGTGCCTTAATTAGTAGGCTTTGGTGTGGTCATATTTACCTGACTTATTGTGATGATTGATCACCAGTGAACTACTTTGGTATTTGCAAGTGGTAAGTGATCTCCTGTCCCAGACTTTGCAGGTTCATTTTGGCAGAGAGAGTTCTTCAACAGCTCTGTTTGGGTTTCTGAACGTGTCTACTGGTAACATCCTCGGGCAGGTAGGCCTACTGTTAGGGGCTATTTTGGGGGCATGGCAAGTGTTTAAGCTCTGAGGTCAAGGAGAACAGCTGGGTAGGACTGCTGGCTTGGTTTCCTGCCCAAGTGAGGCTGTAGGATGGGCACCACAGTTGCCTGGATTCTCTGGGTAATCTTACTAGATGGTCACGACTGGGTGTTATACTCAGCAGTTAAAGTGGGGTTATGAATTAGCTTCCCTGCCCTGCCAGGGCAGCAAGACAGGGCCCAGGGCCTGCATAGTTTGTTGTCTGGGGACCTGAATCAAATAAGAGTGTGCATGGGATATCCTGGGCAGGTGAGGCTCCCAGTTTTGCTCTGTAGGCAAGGAAAGCCCCAGGGTGTGTGCTCTCTGGGAGCAGGGCTGCTGGATGGGCCATGCAATTTCTGATGCGTTCTAGTGAAGTTCCTTGGTCAGTGGGGCTGAAGCCTCTTCAGCAATGAGTGGGGCTATGGATTAGTTTCCCTGCCTGGACACAGCAGGAGAAGCAGCTCAGAGGCCAGTAAGGCTCTTTGTTGTCCTTACCTTAGCTGACTCATGCTGCAGTTTTTCTGGCCGACCAGGACCCCTTGCTTTGCTCTGAAGGCAGTCAGCTCTATGCACCTACCCCTCAGCCTGAGAGTTGCCAAGTCATGTAGCTTACAGGTGTTCTCCCCAGCCCTTCCTGTCACGTGGGCCTGGGGACTACTGTCCACAGCCTCGAGCTGTGACTCAACCTCAACTCTTTTGCCTGGGAGGCCCCCTTCAAGCAACTTTTAATTTTCACCAACAGGCTTTCTGGTTGAGAGGGGCCAGGAGCCAGTCTCTACAGAGTGTGGGACTAGGACTCAGTTTTTCTGCCCAGGGAGGGGACAGACCAGGCTCCAGGGCTGATAAAACTCATCTGAGGACCCAAATCAAGCAGACCTGAACCCTGCTGCATTCCCAGGGGTCAGACAGTACCCCTGACTTGGTTCTGCAAATGAACAGAACCACTCTTCTACTTGGGCACAGCAGGTGTGCACTAGATCTGCCCAGATCCAAGTGCTGCTTGTGGGAAGCCCCCTCCCTGCTCCTCTGTCCCAATCAGAGTCCCAGTTTTTGAGCCCCACAGATTCCCCTATACTCATGAGGAGGCAAATCCAGCTCCCTTGAAGCAACCCTCAATCCTGGATATCACCCCTGGGCTCTCATAAGACTTCCAAGTATGGTGTTGGTCACTGGCCAGGGACGGGGCATTATGTAGCCATGACTCTACCCTTCTGGTGTGGTCTCTCTTGCTCTCTGTGGTGCAGTGGGCTCCTTTAGCCTCACTCCCACGTTCTAGGAGTCTCTCCTTGGTGTCACGTCCAGGGATAGTTGTTTGCTCCCCCTCACAAGAACAAGAGCTAAGTCCCGTATGACCTGTGGTGGCATCTTGGTGATATCACTTCTTGCACGTCTTAGAAATCCTGAAATGTAGTAGTTAAAAGCTGGTTTCTAGTTACTTAATGCACCTGGCTACCACTTTATCACATTGTAGATCCACCCTGAGGCACATGGCTTTGATAAAGCCAGACCTTTATTTCCCACTAGGATCCCAAGGCTCCAAATGAGGAGAGCTGGCCTTAGGCAACTCCGTTTGCCATCTGTTGACACGAAGAGCTGAGAAACCACTCTCCCCTGATAAAGTTTAAGAAATAACATGCATGGCCTTTGACAAAGCAATTTTCAGACAGCTCTCTGTGGCAAATGAACTCAAACAAGAGGATAAAAAAGCTTTTATATATAAAGATATCTCCTAGTATCTTTATTATTTTTTTTCTATAACTGCAATCTAAATGTTTGCCAATAGGCAACTAATTGATTGTATGAGTGGAGAATGTCTAAGTTAAAATGTTAAATGAAGGGAGCAAGATGCAAGTTTGTACATACATGATTGCAGTTATATATAATTGCAGTCCTATAAACCTAGAAACCACTAACTTGTGCCTGGAATGAAGACTAAAATACATAAAAAGTAGCCTATCATTGAACAGTAGATTCTATAATTTGTCATCCAATGAAGTATTACAGTAAATGTTTTCTAAAAGACACCACTCAAAATTACAATAGTGGTTTATTCTCTTATGCTTGCAGACCATAATTGTACATATAAATACTGTATTGTCAACCATTTGAGATGTGTTGCTTATTTTGGGTTTAGCATGTTGACCTTAGAGTCTTGTACTAAAATGACCTTGTTAAAAGGATTCCGCAAAATAATCTCATGGATTCCTTGAGTTCCTTTTTTTTTTTCTTTTGTTAGTTTTCCATCTATAGATCTTCGTGGGGGGAGGGATAAAACAACCTGAAATATAAAGTTAAGGAAAAAAAATGTCTCTTTACAGGTGTTCCATTACCCAAAGAAGACATTTCTGTCCCTGTGATCTCTAGCTCACCAGTGAAGGAAGCCCGGGAGTACAAAAACCCCCAAAGTGAAGAGGAAGAGAAAATCAAAGAAGAGCCCCTGACCATCTCCGAACTGGCCTACAACCCAAGTGCCAGCCTGCTCCCCACCCCTGTGGATGATGATGAGATTGACATGCTCTTTGACTGTCCATCGAGGCTGGAGTTGGAAAGAGAAGACACAGATTCATTTGAGGAACTAGAAGCAGACGAACATGCCTTTTTGATGGCCGAAGAAGAAGAGCTGAAGGAGGCTCGCCAAGCTTTGTCGTGGAGCTATGACATTCTGAGCGGCCACATTCGGGTGAACCCACTGGTCAAGAGTTTTTCCAGGCTCCTGGTGGTGGGCCTGGGGCTGCTGCTCTTTGTATTCCCCCTGCTCCTCCTCCTTTTGGAGTCAGGTATTGATCTCTCCTTCTTATGTGAAATCCGCCAGACGCCAGAGTTTGAGCAGTTTCACTATGAATACTACTGCCCTCTAAAGGAGTGGGTGGCTGGCAAAGTAAACCTCATTCTCTACATGCTGGGTTGCTCATAAAGTCCGTATCTCATATGACTAAGGGCTATATTCAATACTAGTGATTTGTTGGTTTTTGTTTTTTTTAGCAAATACCTGGTTCTGAATGGTCACAGGGCCATGATCAGGTGTTCCTTACTCATAACTGATTAAGTTAGCTTTCCATAATTCACTGCAGTTAAATAAGTTCAAGTCAAATACAGTTATTTTAGTTACAGGTCAGGAAGATGGCCTTTAAATAACCAAAAATGTTTATTTTTTATTATACTACAGACATACTCTATCATAATACATTGAGCTGAATTAGATTTCCCCTTTTTTAATAGTTAGCACCATTATAAGGTTCAGAATCAGAATTTTAGTAACAACCCAAGAGAAAGTTTTTGAATATAATCCTTAGTGAAAACAACGTCCTCTAACCGATGCCTATACAACTAAATTTATGCTGGGCTTTTGTTTTCTGTTTTTTTAAAAATATTTTTATGTGTTCAAAATATTTTGGTAAATTTTTAGCAAAAAAAGAAGCCTCCTGGAGTTATTTAAGTGTACAGATTGTAAGACTAATGCGCGAAGGGTATGTCAGGAATTTTTTAATGTTTTGGCACTGGTTTGTTTTTTACAATATTTTTGGCTGAACCAATGGCATAATTTGTTGTTACCTGCGTATGAGATAGAAAATAGGTAGAAAGACACTGTAGTAAGCTCTTGAAATGGATGATGGAACTGGAGGATGTAGAAATGAAGAAGACTCAAGTGGACACAGGGTGGTCCATTTTTTCAAAGTATTTGGACAAGATGACTTACTACCTTCATTTGCATTCCGTCCATATATTTTGGTTGGGGATGCAGAACATTTTAAAGGAAAAAAGTTAAAAGTTACACTAGTTAATTGCATATTATTGTACATTAAACCCAAGAGTAGAAGCAGATGGGCATTGGGCAAGTAGCAAAAGAGTTCTGGTGAGGCTGGTATGCAAGGGTGGTGGTAATGCATGGTTTTGGATGATGTAAAGAATGTGCACTTGCTGTCCGAGTTGACATGAATATATTTAAGTGGATCTGAATAAAGGTGGAGAAACCTTAAGGCATATTTTTTGGGTCCCTCATGCTATTCATTGATTCGATGGAACAAATTTCAAAAGAAGTGTGTGTAAGAGAAAGGCTATGAAAAGAATGGAGTTTGGCTTTTTGATAAATGCTGATGATCTTCCTATTTGGTGGCCATTATCCTCTTTTCCTTTCCTGGTTTTCTTAAGATCTTAACTCATTTCGAATTGGGGCTTCCATTAAGAAAGTGGAAGGGACTCATTAGAGGATCTACCATTTCAGTATGGGTGAAATAGTAAAAGGACTCTCTAACCAGATAGTAGAGGGAACAAATGTTCTAGTACCTTCCTTCATACTATAAGCTCCACCATAGAAAGAAAGGCTCTGATGCTTCCCCAGGCAGAGTACTTACCAATACTGCGATATAACTGAGAAAGAAAAGAGTATGAAGCTCAGGGCATAGTGCATTGGAATTTCTCCATGGACTGAGAATATTCTATTGCCTTCATTTACAAAGAGATTGGGCACCTGTATTCTCTCCTTAACTGTAATAGAGGCTCCAACTCTATCATTAGCATCATTTCTAAATTGGCCATTCATGGGAGCTCTGAGTGCTCTATTAGACATTTAAGTTTGAAAATAATAAGTTTTAAAAGCCTTCAGTGGAACAAACTAGAATATACATTTGCTATTAAGTTTGTAAGGTATTCTCTCCCCTGTGCTTTCAGTGATTTATTTTGCTTTTTATTGAAGAATATTTAATACCTGTAATTTGATACCAACATAGAATATATTTTATATAGTTTATGTTGGAAGTTCTCAAATGGCCAGCTTTGAAATTGAACCCCTTTGTTATGACTTCCAAGTCCTATGTTCTGACAAAAGGGTACCCCAGTGTAGTCTGCACAGAATTAGTCCCCCTTGTAATCATGCTTCATACCATAACCAACCTAGGCCCTGCCCTTTTAAAGTAATATTAAATATCTTTAAATTATGGAAATATAATATATGGCCCATCATAAAACACTGAAAAATACTGACAGGATCAATACCCCACAAAATCCAACCATGCAGATTTATATTGGGGAGTAATCAATATATTTTAACATTTCCAGCTAACATCTCTTTTAGGCAAGAACGTCATTATTGAATAGAAATGTTTTTAAGTAAAGGAGTTAACAGAATAGGGTCTGCTGAACACCACCAAACAGCCACCAAACATAAAACTGGGATCCTAAGACGCCATTTTGTCGGGATAGAATCAGCGTTTTAGAAATATCCACTTCAGTTTTGTTAGGAGAGAGTCGCCCACTGCCTGAATCAAATGAGGAGAAAAGTGCTTCTAAAGATGGAGAGTATATAACATAGTGAGACACAGAATTCAAAGCAAGTGTGTGAGTATATGTATATTCCATATTATTGGTATAGGTGTGTTTATATATGAATCTGTATATATGTGTGCATTTGTATACACACAACTGATAAACACAACTATGTTTGAAAGGCGTTATTTTTCCCCAATTGAGGAGTTTGTGACATGTTATTATTCCTTTTCCCTCTCAGATACCATGGGATAAAACCCACAGTCTCAAAGGTTTCAATTTTCCATGAAAACAAGTGTGTACATTTGTGGTTATATATACACACATATATGGCAAATACATATACACACACAATCTTGTCTTTAGTGCTAATGCAAGTTGGATCATAAAAAAAATGTAGGTAAAGTATCGTGTATTTCTGTCTGTGCTTGGAACATACTGTAAAATGTTATGTATTTGGAATATATTTTGTGGTTTGTCTAATATTTATAAAGACAACTCTGGGAAGAATTCAAAAGGTGATTTCATTGAAATACTAGAGATATGGGGGCCATGTTACCTGTGATTGGAGCCTTATCTTTGTATAGTAAAATCTGCATTTCTATGTCAACATCCAGATTGTTTTATATGTTAATATGGTGGCAGGAATCCCTAATAAAAATACTCTGGGGAAAAATGTTTCTGCAATCATTTAGTTTTATTCAGGCTATTTATGCAAATTTACTTTGTTGGAACTACAAAAAGGTACCATATAGGACCATGAATGAGGTCACCCTTGAATGGTGATACTATGAAAAGAAAAGAAATGGATGGGATTAATCCTTTGCAGAAATCCTTTGCAGAAATCACTCAGGCTAAAACCAGGAATATTGAGTGTACTGAAAATGGACCCAAACATAAAAGATAGCTATAGCATTAAGATAATTAGAGAAATAGCAGAGCATGGAGAAAATAGATGAGAGGTGTTCTTCATTATAGATAGGAGGAAGGATTTCCAAATGTTAAAAATTAGTAGGTCATCAGTTCTGGCAGAAAAGGCTGCTTTCCTGTGCCAGGGAGAGCTACATCAGACTCAACTCTCCCACACTTGCCATGAAACTTTGATCTGTTCATGGACCCCGGAAGAACCTTATTCTTCTACTTTTGTCTTCCCCTCCATACCACATGGCCTGAAAGGCCTACTGCTTTGGTTTATCACAAAGCTAACAACTCCATCCCTGACTGCTAACTCAGAAGCTGTTACTGTGAATGAAGCAAAAGGAGCCCTCTCTACAGTAGGAACACCACGATGTAAAGCCAAATTGTACCTCAGCTGTGGTGGCCTCTTAAGTCTGTCAATCTCTGTTTTACTGAGCTATAATTGACATAAAATTGTATTATTTTAGGTATATAACATGATTAGATATCTGTATATGTTGTGAAATGATCACACAAGAAGTTGAGTCAATATCCTTCACCTCACAGAATCACAAAATTTTTTTCTTGTGATGAGAACTTTTAAGATCTACTCTCTTAGCAACTTTCAATACAGTATAGCATTGTTAACTAGAGTCCCCCTCTTGTATATTACATCTCCAGCCAGAACTTATTAAAACTGCAAGTTTGTACCTTTTGATCACCTTCATCCATTTCACCCACCTTGGGGGGTAGGGTGTGGTGGGGAGTGGTCTGTCAGGTTCTTACTCAGCAGTTGTCAGAGGTCCAGGCTGTAGAGTACAGACAAGAAAAAGAATTGTGGTTATTATTCAGGCATGAGGTGACTTAGGGACCTACAGTCCCAACTCCAGCAGCTGTAGCCAGCACCATTGTTTGGCTTAGTATCTGCAGACTGGAAGGTTCACATGAAGTGACCCTTGGCTACTTATTCCTTGAGCAGTCCAGGCTCCTGACCCAACCTCACCTCTTGGGAGAAACCCTTTTCCTTATTCCTCCATTCTTTGCTTAGCCAAGTAGGGAAAATCTCTCCTAACCACATGCCAGCCTGGAAGGAAAGAACTGGGGAGAAGCTTCCACCTCTGAGGTGACTTCGGGATGGTTGTGGTTGATGAGTTTGAGACTCTTTGGGCCATCTTTCTCTACTGGGTGGAGATCATGTACTAAAGGTCCCTGCTTACTTGTCCTCCTGCTTCTTCTCTCTCTCTCTCTTTCTCTTGGACCTGCTTTTGGGCTTCCAGTCTACATGCAGTAAACAGACCCAGCAGGACCTGCCCATGGTGGGCCCAGCCAGGACTCGGCTCTCCACCTTCCAGCCGCGGTCTGTGATGGGTGGGTAAGTTTGGCAAGCCCCGCCCAGTGGGCTCAGCTGTCATCACTTCAGAGAGGACAGAAGAAGCCCTCACCTGGGTCTCAGATCCCAGCTGTGTTCTCCAATCTATTAATAAAACTCTCTCCTGGCCCTTGTGTCTACTGTCTACTGGGAACTGGGGTGGTGGCTGGGGGTAAGATTCACACTAAGTACACTCAAGAATATTTAGGATCTCTGCCACCTCCAATGTCGCCAGCAAGGAAAGAAAGAAGGCTGCTTCTGGCTGAACCTTAGGCGTCAGGGGGTGTCTGCCACTGCCACTCGCCCTGACTGGTCTTGCAAGTGGGTGAGGGAACTTGAGACTTAATATTAGTAAAGAACGAGGGGTTAGTTAGAACCACACATCCCTATTCTTTATCCATAACTGATGCTTACCCCAAATATCTCCTTGGAAAGAGAAGTAAGGCCACTTTCCTGGTTATAAAGGAAAGCTCATAGTAGGACAAAGGATATACTTTCTGTGGGTAGGAAGTACTGAAACATGTCTTGCGAATTACAGCAGCTCCTCCAGCTAACGCTGGTCACCTTGAGCCTCCTCATCCGCAAGAATAATGATCATGAAAATTGGCTTTCTGAGGAGACCATCTTTTAAGGGAGAGAACACACTAACAAACCCACATTCATTTCCACTCTGCTTGGCAGTCTTCATAATAAGTTAAAAATTCAGCGTTCTGGTTTAAGCATCCATCTCCTGTGATTTCCTTGGTGAGAATCAGCTTCCTCCCATCCTGGATCAGCCCAAGTGTCCCGACAACCCTGACCTGCTGGTTCTGCAAAGGTGCAAACCAGACCTTGAACACTGGTGGCCACATAAACATACTGCTTCCTGGTCATAGGGTTCCTATATAATTCATTGTCCAAACCGGAACTCTTTTGAGAACGAAAAGGGGTGTTTTTAATGATTATGTCACAACATCAGGTATTAGCTAGGATGACTCCAGACACACTACCTGTAAGGCTTGGCTCAATCGCCTAGGTGCCTCTTTCAACAACCACTCCAGCTTCTTTCTCTAAAATATTGACAGAATAAGATAGGGAAGGATTATTGCCTGATACTCATATTCTCCTCCTTGCCATAAAAAATCAGATTGAAATTTACCAAAATTTGTCCTATCACGTGGTTTGGTGTGAGACTATAAATTACACAGAAGACCATTTTAAATGAGCCTCTGGTACTGAATATTTAATGCTATACACTTGATTTATTCACCATTTATAATGTGGAATTTTTTGTTTAACGTGAGGCAGGTGGGTTAGAATGATCTCAATGCTCCTTTTACCTCCATACTCCTGAATTTGACATTTCTGATCTGCACATACAGAGAACACGGGTGATCAGTTTAACTGTGAGCAACTGTTCACACCAAGTACAAGCAAGCCAACTCGATCATTTATACTGAGAAATGTCAGCCAGCTTGGCACTTGTTTGATGCTAGATGCTCCATATGTGCTCTTCCCAGAACATAAGCTGTAATGTGAACCAAACATTATCAAGCACAAGGAATCACAGCTGGGAAGTGGCCTTTCAAGGCAGTCGGCCTCAACAGACCAGGTGTTCCCATGGACGGGTCTATCTTAGAAGGCCTGAGGACACATTATACACATTTTACTGCAAGTCTCCCATTTTGTGAATTTCTTGTGGCAGAGACTGGCAGCTGAACACCAAAACAATTTTCTCTTCATTTTGTACACAGACTTAGACTACACTTCCCAGCTCTTGTGTACTTAGGTAAGCCGTATTCCTGAGTTCTGGCCAATGGAATTTGGCCCTGGGCTAGGTGTAGGCCTCCCTTCTGCCACTGGATGTTAGCACCTGCAGTGACCTTGAGGCCACCAGCTGAGCATATTAGAGCTGCCAAAAACTTGGATGCTTGAATGACTGTGTGCAGCAGAGCACATTTCCCCCTAAACCAAACCCATCTCGGAGTACTTGAGCAACAAAGTCCCAACTGGGCAATTTCCAAGTCCGTTGCTGTTACCACTCCTTCTTTTATTATTCAAGTTGGCTGTCCTGCCCAGTGAAGGAGAGTAAGCTGAAAGCAGGTGTAGGAACTGCCCAGCACCGGAGTCTCCGAGGAGATTCTACTGGAGAACCACTCTACAAAGGGGAGGAGGTGCCCCTCTGTACTTAAAAGTGCCAAACCTGGGTGGGGCCCTATTTTTGGTGCTAATGTGTCTTGTCACTCTTGCTTTTAGGGGCTCAATTGGAACTGTCCATTATTAGAACCCAAGGTAGCCACCCCCCTGATGGGCAAAATCACCCCTGGTTGAGAACTACTAGGTTCAGGAGTGGTTTCATGGGCATGTAACCTGTGAACTTGTATAGGGCCCTGCTCTCAAAGGTTTGGTTTAATGCTCTGCTTTCACCATCTTGAAATTCTTAATAATTTTTATATTTGAAGTTGTGTTTTGTAAGTGAAGTCCAATGGGACAATGAAATGTGATAGAGATCAGTCAGGCAACAGCGGATACTGCCATACTGTGCAGCTGGCCTGGATACCAGGCATGCACACGTACACACATGGGGCAGTCTAAGGTACCAGGGGGTCCCTGAGGGGACCTCCTGCACCAGAACCTGAGCCCAGATTAATGGCAAAGGAGGCAGCTGCAGCTGAAAGGATCAGAGGTATTCCATATATGGGTGGCATTGGAGCCCTTGGTGGGAGGCCAGCTTGCCCATCAATCTCTGGAACCCATCCTGAAATATCTGCATGGATATCAACTCCGGCCTGAGCACTGGAACAATATCTGCCACCGCTTAGGCAGTCAACTCTGTTGGTAACTTAGCACAACATAAAAGTGTACACATAGACATTATAAAACTATACCAGAGAGTTATTAGAATTCTTCAAAGAGTTTAGCATTTCTGGTTTTGAAAAACACTGTAACATTGCAAAACAAATACCCACAGGCTTGGAAATAGAAACTAAATGTAAAGATCCTCACATTCCACAGAAACTACACGCCCTCCCCCCTGCTATTTTCATAGAAAAACTTTCATGGGCAAATTATGAACAAATAGACAATTATAAAATAGTTTTCCCCTGTGTTTGAAGATATAGCATTAGAGTTCATAAACAGGCATTTTAAATTATATATAAATCATGAAGCCAACTTTCAGCTTTTTGTACAACCTCTACAAGTTACAGGAAAGATCAGAAGAAATATTAAAATGCCATTATATAGAGTAACATTTAAACCTAAATGCAGACTTACAAAAAACTGATTTGTAAGGAGATCTTTTTAGAGAAATTATTCTTCAAGAATAGCCAGCTCTGGATGTACTAAAATTTATATTTCAAAATAATCTATCAGAACTTTATCCTAATGCTGTTAAGGTCTATAAGATATTCTTAACAGCATCAGTAACAGT